TATATTTTAAGATTAATCTAAGAGGATTCCCTTCAAGTGATGGCCAGAGAAATATTAATGTGGCACAATCCGTTGTCCGTTTGACGGAACAGCCTTGTAGATTTAAATAATGAAATAAAAATACATTTGAGGTCTAAAAGGTTTTTTTTTTCTTACTCCTTTTGACTTTTCCGACTTCCGCCATGAGTATTCTAGCAGGTAGCTTGACGACATCCAAGGAGCACGTGGTTTACAATAACCGGAAGCGATCACTATCACTTCCTCTTCATTAGGAACTTTCAAGAAGAATGGTTGGCACAGGCGGATCTATGGGGGGGGGGAGAAGGCTTTCGGGATGAAGTCCCTCTCCAAAATGGTGTAACCATGTTTATAGTAAAACATTATCTCTTAAAGTATTATTATTATTCATGTAATTACATTTAATAGGACTTCAAGAATAACTTAAACACCATTTCATATAGTTAGTTCTTTCTTCTTTTTTTCAAAAGTAATTATTGTTATATATATATATGAAAAAAAATTTCGGGCTGAAGCCTCCCTCAAAATTCTTTTTTTTTGGAATAGGGGATTATTAGCCCTATGCCCGACCCCCAGCCTAGAGGACCAGGAGCTATGGTGTAAAACACAGAGGTCGCTCATCACCTCCCTGTGAATCTCTGGGTGGGGACGTTACCGTACCCATGAGGGAATCGAACCCGCGCTATCTTAGCAATCGAGTAATAAATTATTTATTGTAACTTATTGTTAATTATTTTTATTTTTATCTTTTTTTTAATAAATCCTGTGAACAGGATTTGAACTCATGACATAACATTTTTGTAGGCGCTTTAACTCGCTCGACTTAAATACACGATAGTTTTCCATAACAAATTAAACATAATGTTGTAATAGTATTAAAATGATTTTAAAAAATCTTATTTTTTAAAGTCTATCATTAAGTGATAACAGAATAAAACGAAATAATAAAATATTTTTGATACTCGGATTTTGAATTTAGTAACATCAAATACTGAGAGGGACTCTTTCCCTCTCCCTCCTGCAGGATTTAATTAATCGGAACAAACATCTGAAAATAGTTTGTGGTCAAGAGATTTTAACCCAAGCTTCCATGTACCAGTGCTTAACAGAACGCCGATATTGTTTTACCAATTTCAATGTGATGCACGGTAAAAATTAACACATAATTTAATTTAAAATCAGTTATGTTTTATGTTTTCATTATTTTATGAAATTATTATTATATTATATTATATCTCACTATTTAAGAACAATTTAATAAAGTTATTTTGGACAAAATAAACTGCAAAATGCTGCGAGACCAGAACACTAACAACACTCCAGAAGTATGTATTAAACGATTTGATAGAAAAAGTCTTCGCTTGATGACCAAAGCGTTCTGAGATCAGAGTTCTTAACAAACTAGTCAATCAATATCTCATCATATGAAGGCTGTCAGGAAGTCTCTACACACAATGCCTCAATAGTAGGCAAAAGACAACACGTAAGGCAAAAAATCAGATGGATAGAGGGAATAAAAAAATATGCAAGTAACTGGAAAAGTAATGCAAATAAATGGAAACTAATAATCTAAGAAAGGAAGATATGGAGAAGACTGGTTAAGGTGGCAAAAGATCTTCAAGGTCTGTAATGCCAGCAGAAAAAATATATATATTAATTTATTTGATTACGTCATTAGGAGTATATATAGTATAATAGTATGATATGAACTTTGAATGCACTCTTATACCATCAATGTTCATACAGTTTGATTATTGACATTTATGGAGATGGATTACTTTCGATAATGGATAACATGTTTTAAAAATAATACTACTAAAGTATTCAAAGTTTAATTTTTTAATTATTAATTTAAGAATTATTTAAAAGTTACACTTGAATCAAGATAGTGTTAAATTATTACTCCTAATAAATACTTTTTTTAAAAATATAATATAAAAATACAATGTTTCCCTACGGTAGTGAGGAAGCAATATAATAAAAGAAAATCATCTGAGGGGAGTTATTTTTATTGTTCTCATTTTCAGACGGTTATCATTTTACTGAAAATTGTTGAAGGAAAGATCCTTTGACACGCAGTAAGCCTTTGCTTGAATTTTTATTTAAGGCGTTCGTTATTCCTTTTTATACTAAATGATGGCGTCTCATTACTTCAAAGGAAACAAAACATTTATAAAATCTTCAATCCGAAAAAAAGAAGATTCAATGTAATATCTTATTTGTTTAGATAGAGGTGCATTTACCAGTTTATATACTTTATTGGGAAAAGGCTTCAATTAATAATTATTAAAAAGTTTAGGTTGAATCAATACTTTTTTATTCATTTTTTTTAACTTTGTTTTTTTTTTAAACTCACATTTGTTGAGAATACCAACAACCAGCGAGTGTGCTGTCGGAAACAAAGATGTAGATTAAGACGTTGGAAGACGTGAGGAAAATTGTGCCCCGCGGTGTCCCTTCCTAACTTGATTTAATGTTTACAGTTAGTGGAGGAGATCCCTCATACAGCTTCTTTTGAGTCTCCTACGGCATCGGGCATGTTGGTTGTAGCCATGCCTCGAATCAGTGAATTAGTATGTCTGTGTAAGTTATTGTGAAATCTTTTGTAGTGTGTTAGTATGTAAAGTAATGTTACTGACGTACTAGGGAATCTTGGGGATAGTTCTGAAAGTTTTTGATTGAAAAGTCTGTAGTTACGCACGTGAGTTTTTTTTTGGCTGTCCCGTATATCTGTGAAGCATAGGTCCAAATGGGCTTAAGTATGTATTCAATTTATTATTATATGTATTCAATTTTTGACTAAGTTTTAATTTCGAATGTCTTGAAAGGAATGTATATAGCAGTCGTAGTCTTTGATTTAGTGTTTCTATTTTGTTCTTGAAATGTGGGTCCCATATAATTCTTCTATCAAATGTCAGTCCAAGATATTGAATTTTATCTGTCTGAGGAATTTGGTCATTGTCGAGGTAAAAGGAGGGCATGTTCCAAGTCGAAGAGTAAAAGTAATATGTTGAGACTAATTTTCTACAGTTCACACCAGTCATGGAATTTAATTAGGTGTTATTGTAGATTCTGTGAGGTGTTTATTGGTTTTTGATGTCTTATTATGATTGATATGTTATCGTCTGCGTAAGTCGCGGTCAGAGTTTCGAAACTATGTGGAATATCATGTGCGTAAATTATATAAGCATCGGAGCTAATACTGAACCTTGAAGTGCTCCTGCTAAGGTTGGTTTAATAGTAGAAAGTTCTGTGCCTTGGCAGACAGAGAAAAATCTGTTAGAAAGAAAAGATTTAAGGATGTGATAGTAGGTTGGAGGGAGTATAGTCTTCAGTTAGAAAAGAAGCCCCTGATGCCAGACACTATCGAACGCTTGAGCGACATCGATTGCAATATTCAATACTTAAATTACCATTAATAAACTCAACAAAAGTTTAATAAACTCAAGAATTTGTTTATTTTTAGATATCATTATAAAATTTTCAACAATGTAAATTTTCATTGTCACAGGGGACTATTTATTAACGTATTGTGATTTTTTTGTCTTTTTATCGGGGTACTGGTAACCAATTAAATGTCTAATAAACAAAATAATGTACACCTGAAGGATAACAAAAAATTCTGTGGGGGACTCTGGGCCCTATTTATTGTTAACCATAAATGTTCAACCTTTATCTATTTCCTCAAAAATACACGTTAAGTATACAAAAGTGAGACTATCTATGTAGAATATATAAGCAAGAGTTTAAAACTATAATTTACTAATAAAGTCTTCAGGTCATATATAAGAAGGATCGATTATGTTTACCACATCATAATATAATTTAACTAGATATAATATTTGTCAATGTAGTTCAATCAAACCAGTTAAATCTTCTAGTGTCCTTTCTACCGAACCATAATTGGTACCATAAACTTTATGTTGTTTTGACTTTAGTAAATGTGAAAACAGAAAGAATAAAATAATATAAAAATAAAGCCTAGAAGAGTGTAATTAAAAGTTCAAAAATAAAGCTACAAAACGAAACAAAAATAATCCAAATTATTTATTTATACTCACTGCAGCCTAGATCAAGAGTCTAGTGGTCTGATGCACGGAGAGTTGATTTAAATAATATTACGACACTTGAAAAGGCTTTTTATGTCTTCAAATAAGAGCTTACTACTCATAATAACATTTTTGATAAAGCTGTTTTTTCTTCGAATAAATTAATTTTAAACATTAAAAAATTAATATATTACAAAAATTTCTTCCTGCTATTTAAAATATTATTCCCTGCGAAATCTCACATTTGGGACACAACATTTAGGGATGTATAGACTCATCCGCTTACTGTCATAGATTTAGACAGGAGTATATATAAAAATTATAGTAAAACTAAAAAATAATTTGAATGATTTCAAATCGAAAATAAGTCACGTTGAATGTCTACATAGACTAAGCATTGCTTTATATTGAAGAAATGAATTTCAAAAAATTAATTCATTACTTATATTAAACATTGGTTCGTGAACAGTCATTGTTTAGTAAGTAATGAGCAATCCTATTTTCAGTTTTTTTAAAAAAACTTTCTACGTAAATTTCTTAAAATATGGTTACATTTTAACTTAATTCATTTCAGTAGTTTGTCAAAACAATATTTCAAGTTGATTTTTTCAACAAAGTTCGTCATATTTATAAAATTATTTGTTTTTTTCTAATTTTTTAAAAACCTTCTCACAAAATTCACTTTTTGAAATTGATTCTGAAACCGAGAAATTATTTCAGCCATGAGGTAGCGAAATGATAAGAAATACTCATAACAAAAGAAAGAAATAGAGGATATTAAAAAAGTAAAGAGCAAAAATGTAATTATGAAAAATCTTAGAACATTATTTAAATAATATCATACTTTATCTAGTTATTAAGAAAGTTTGTTAAAAGACATAATACTAATTTTAAACATTAATAATTAATTTAATACTTATAATTTATACTTACAAGACGCTAGTTCTACTAGGACTTGAGAAGTGCTGTATTTGAACTAAAACATTATAAAGTAAAATTTTTATTAATGAATTATGAATAAAATTGTGTATTGTCAAAAGACATTATTTTATATTTCTGTTCGTTAATTTCATTGTTTATTAAAACATAATATTAATCAGTTTTGGAGATAATATAATACCACGAGTAAGAAGTTTTGGATATTTCTTGAAATATAATAAGTTAAAATTAAATAAAATCAAAACAACTCTCTTTTTTACAGGATTATGTCGGCATTTTCTTCCTAGCTCTGTTCTGTATAAATACGATAAACAATAGGCATATAGAGAATGGCTCTAGGAAATTAACAGCTCCTTCATCAAATATTTGAGGAAGGATAGCTAGAGGCTGATAAAACTAAACAGATCTGTCATTTTAAGTCTTTAGGTTGCATTCTTCAATGTACTTAATAACAAAGGAATACAATTTAGACAAATTACAGAAAAGAAAAAAATGATATACCGTGATTTAAAAAAAAAAAAAACTGGTTCAGCGCTACACACAACTTTTAATTTTTATCTTAATTTCAGTAGATATTATTTTTTCCCCCTCAAAGTTAATAAATATTAAAAATGGTCCTTTAATTATAAATGCAAACTTACGACAGTTAATATATAGCATGACATTTCTGTGCATTATAAAGATAGATAAATATAAAAATAAACTTTATTCGGGGACAAGGTCCACTAAGATTAGCAAAAATGAACAAATAAAAAAAAAACAGAGATATAAAAAAAAATGCATTAAATAAAATTCTAACAATATATACAGTGAATTGTAACATGTAAACAATTAAAAAAAAATCTCATGAATAAAAATGAATCTAATGAAAAAACAAAATCTGAGAGCGTCTGTTAGGGATTTAAGAAGGTATTGAAAAATGAGTTATTTTAATGATGTCAGGGAAGAGGTATGAGGGATGTACGATGGCTAGGAATTCCAGAAGGCAAAGGAGAGAGTTAGGAACGTTCGAAGGTTTTAGTTCCATGGGAGCGGGTACAGAGGTCAGAAACATCTTGTTTTCTGTTAGTCGGTTGAACTCTTGGAGGCGGTAGATATAGTAATGTTGCTGGAATTTGATCGATGGTATAACAAAGATCAGAGGAAATAATGGCGGAGAAATGAGGAGAAGAAAAGCCACTTTAGCTCATCATATAGGTGGGGTATATGAGACCGTCTCGAGGTACCCAAGACAAATCCTAATAGACAGTTATTATTCGCTTCAGTCTGTTCTCGAGTACCATGCAGAAGCCATTATACACCACATAGTCGTAGTCAAAGTGGGGAGTAATCAACTGAAGAAACGAGCAGCTTGCGGATAGGTTGTGAAAGATAATGTCGGAAACGATGGAATAACTGAAGTACACATTCGGAAGATATGGTATTTCCAGAAGAGTTTTTCTTCAATAGTGATTCCTAAGAGGAGCTAAAGATGATAAGTCGATCATTTATAACTAAAGGAGAAAGGGTGGGTGGCAATGGTTTTAAGGAGGGTATTGGAATCCATAAGAATGGCCTGAGTTTTCGTTGCGTTTAGCTTTATATTTTCCCAGTCCGCTGGTGTTCCTCAAGAAAGTATCCTAGGTCCTATACTTTCTTTCCCATTGATCTGTACGCCTACATATTTAAAATCTGAATTCTGGGTAAGATGCCAATTTTAAAGGATATGCTCAGAGAGTTGAAGGGAATATATTCTGTCATTTCCCCCCCCCCCCCAATATATTTTGGAGTACTGTAAAGCTTTCTCAGCATGATTGATCCTCTCCAGCATTCAGATCAATTATCTGATACAGTGACAAAAAAAAAAAAACACCTGTACCGCTACAACCCATGAAAGGTCTTGGGTTCAGTTACAGTTTATACAGTTTATACAGCTGACATCCCTACGTATCTCAATACTGTCATCACCACATATGCCGAGGAAACATATATCCTATCAGTAAAAAATGACCCATCGATTGCATTCCAAATGCTTAAATCACACATCATAAATCTTGAAGAATGGTGTCAAAACTGGAGAATTAAAATAAACTCCAATGAATCCCACCAAATTACCTTTACCCTTCGTCGTAAACCAATGACTTCCTGTCCTACAGTTTCCTTTAACAATACTCCACTTATCCCTGTTGAGGAAATCCGCTACCTAGGACTCCACCTGGACAAACGTCTAACTTGGAATACTCATACCAGGCTGAAACAACAAGAAACCGCTCGATGTTTCTGATTACTTCAGCACTTACTAGACGAACGCTCTAAACTTCCAATTAATTACGAAATACTCATATCCATGACTATAATAAGGCCTATTTGGACTTACGGAGTTGAGCTATGGGGCTCCACTAAACCATCGAATTCCTCTAGTATCCAATCCTTACAATCCAAAATCCTTCGTAAAATCCTCAATACTCCGTACTTTGTTACAAATAAAACCGTTTATAATGACCTTCATGTTTCTAATGTTTCAGATCTGGCCCAATCCAGATACCTATCCTTCCATAATAAACTTCAGAATCATCCCAACACTCTCGTTTCTAACCTTGCTTCCTCTTCAATTCCTGAAAACCCTCCGAGGCATGTGAAAAGAAGATGGCGCCGTGATCTCCTAGTGTAGACATATCATTAGAGTGCTACCATTGGGTAGTTACTCAGCAAGTGTTTTCACGTCATTATATCCATATGTTCAAATTTACTAGATGTGTTTCTTTAAAATTACAGTTGTAAATATCATTAAGAAATAATAATAAAAAAAGCTTTATTTTATCCAAGCTTGGCCAGACACTGATCCTGTTTAAGATCTACCTCAATATCAGCAAAAGCTACCAATAATTTGTAAGAGAAAAAGGATACATTAATTTGGGAGTTATCAGCAGATAGTTGGTGTGAATAGTTGTGGATTAAATTAGGAAGATCATTGATAAATGAATTGAAAAGGAGAGGGGAAATGCTCGAACCTTGGGCTACTACAGGGGACGGGAAGGAAGGACGATAAGGATTGATACACACACACATTTTGTGAGACTTAGATATCTGGATTCAAGGAACATTGAATGATGTATTTTTATCGAAAACTAGGATTCGGAGACTAGGATTCGATCGGAATATTTTCCCTTTATATTTATATTAAAATATACATACACATATATATTATAAATATGTAGATGATAGCAACAATCAAACTTTTAATTCTGTTTAACAATCAAACTTAAAATTTAAAAAATAAAATAGAGGTTGATTTCGGCTCCCTCCTATAAAAAAAAATCTACAATTAGTTAAGAATCTATATGTTTTTTTTACAATAAAAGTGATAATTTTCGATAGCCAAGTAATAAATTTAATAGCAGTCAATATTGGGCCTGAAGAGATGCCATCCCTTGTATAATATCGGCCGAGCTAAACACACCCTCTAGCCACAATATCTGTTTCCAATAATCTATAGAGGCATCTCCTAAGAAAATATCACCGATATCTTCCAACTGAAAGAGGGAAGATCTTATCCAGGTACAGTTTTGCAAAATTTAATTCAGTCTTCATATAAATTATATGAAAAACTACTTTCGTTAAGTTAATAAGTTTAATATTTAATACATTGTTATTTGAAACCACAAAGATTTAAAATAATAACTACTAGTTATAAAAAAAGAAAAATTACAATTGGATATATGTAATATATATATATATATATATATATATATATATATATATTTCCAAATAATTTCAACTTTAACTGTTTTTAAAAAAGGTTTATCATTAAGAGGTTAACGGTAAAAGTTTTTTAAAACTGTTAAATAAACGTTCTCACTTAAAGAAGTAAAAACTTTTTTAATACATATATAAAGGTCATACAAAATTATTTATTAAACTTTTATTTATTCCATCTAAATCAAAAAATTACAAATTCACTGTTCAGTACCCTGAGTGGAGTACATACATAAATGTCGTAAAAATGTTTTTGTTAAAATTTTACTTATTCCATTTAAAATGAAAGTTATAAGAACAAAAAATTACAAATTATAATATAAACACTGCTCAGAGTACTCAGAGTGGATAACTAATAAATTCCGGTGATCCTGGGAAATATGTCAAGAAAACATAATACAGTAAAAAGTTTTATTTGTTAATCAGAATTGTTTTATTAGAAAAGTAAAAGCTTTAATATTTTAGAATTAGTTTAATACATACGTGTTACATTTAATAGGACTTCAAGAATCACTTAAACACCTTTTGCTATAGGTAGTTAATTTTTTTTCAAAGTAATTATTGTAATATTAAAAATTTAAAAAAATTCGGCCCCACCCAAAATAAAATCCTGGATCCGCTAGTGTATTGAATATTTATATTGTAATTATATTATGATATGTATATATACTGATGATTATATTTTCTGTGAATAAAATCGTAAAAGCATTTTACTTTGTTCATTAAAACATATTAAAGTAATTGGTTTATAAAAACTGCTATATAGAAACTTTCATTAATGACGTTTTAAAATAAAACTTCAGAAAACAATGTAAGAAAAGTTGAATTTTTGCTTTTAATTATAAGAGTTATTTATTTCATTAGACCCTTGGCATATATATATGTATTATTTATGGCAATGCAGGCCAATAATGATGGACCAATATATCATTCTAGGTTTTCTTTTTTGTCCATATTCATCTCAGTTTTTCTCCCATCTTCCTCTTTCATTCTTCTGTCTATTTCTTATTTTCTTGTCCACTATAAGAATCTTCATATTTTTCACAGTTGTCTCGAATTTGTCCCCTATCTTAGTTGTCTTCCTCTTTGATACCCATTTTTTCTACTTCTTCTTTTATTTTCTACTTACTTTATTTGTTCAGCATAACCATTAATTTATTTCAGTCCCATTAATTTATCGAAAATTAGTTTGTTTAATCAGTTCTGATTCATTTTCTGCATATGCCCGAACAACTTTAATCTCCTTATATATATATCCGCCTGTAATTTTTCTTTTTACAACTACCAAGGTATTAGATGTTAAATTCATTAAAAGTTGCTCTTTTATTCATAGAATTCAATTACAGACATTCTTATTACAACACAAAAAATAAATATTAATTTAATTTATTTGGAATCTAAAATACATTTTACAAAACTACTATTCTACAAATTAGTAGAATTGAATTTATGCCTATGGAATATATTTGAAATAAAGGTATCAGTGTTTATCGTTTCATATGATTTCTTGAGGTTTTAATGTACCCAGATAGAGAAAAAATGTTATCAGGTGGCACAGATGCTGTAGGCTTTTGTCCTTTTTTTAGCCGCCATATATAGGTGTATCTGATCATTCTCCTGTTGAGCTGTTGCTGATTGACAAAAAAAATAATGCACTTGCTGATTTATTTTTGTAAAGGATCATAAATAAAGCAAAACTTCATCGAGAAGGTGAAGAGCTATTTTTAAGTAGAGAAATCTGTTGTCTCCATGTTTTTTTAAATATATTCCGCGAGAAGCAGTTTTATCTTTAAAATGAAAGAAAAGCCCATGACTAATTAACAAATAATATATTTTAAAAAAACACGTCTATTAATGACTGAATAGAAATTAACGAAATGCGGAGACGAGGAATATCGTTATTTTTGGTATTTGATGTACTACAAGTAGTTGTTCAATGAAATTATAATATAGAAATACATTTTAGTAGATAAATATTTTTTATTAAGTTCTCTCTTTTTACATTACTAAATAATGAGCGATCATTGTTGTAAATTATCTGTGTTAATTGTTATTTGTAGATTACTTAATAATGAGCTAATCAGCTTAAAACGTCGTAGGAAGTAGAATAAAAAAATTAAAAGTATAAGGGCTTATATATTCCTTGAAGACACCATATATAATAAATGCGTCTATGTTCCGCGATGAACCTGTTGTCTTTCATTTTAATACAGTGCATTTTACTTTTCATTTAATTAAAGCAATAAGGATCTGTGTAATTTATGATTTTTTGCTAATATCAATAAGTGTATTAAATGCACTTTTTTTTACAGTGTAATCACAAGAGTGTGTATTCGAAATTACAGCATCATCCAACCGTTTTCGTTATTTTAATATTTTAGTTTGATTTAATTATCCATAGTTTCTGGATGAAGCAAAACGTATAAATATATTCCAGAAAGATGCCATACTGCGAGTGAGTCCTGATATCCGGAAGAGCTGAGAGAAGTATGCTAAGTTACTCCTATCTGATACATTCTCAGCCTTCGATAGGGCTTGGTTGCCGAATTTTCGAGAACGGAAAATGTTTGGACTAGAAGTTGAAATTATGTCCCTAAGCGAAGTTTCCCTACATATTATGGTCTCCATCATCCGTATTAATCGACATATGCATCGAAGACTTGGGTAATCAATGAAATACACCGAAACAGACTGATAGCAGTAGAGATGGACTTTTGGAGAAGAGGAGCAAGAAATTCCAGAAAGGAAAGGATAAAAAATGAAAGAATTCTGGAAATGATTGAGATGGAAAAAAATATTTTAGCAAATATTGAAAAGAAAAGGTTATGCTGGTTTGGACATGTGAAAAGAATGACGCCTGAAAGATTGCCAAAAATGTGTATGGACCTGGAAGTAGAAGTGAGAAGAAAAAAGGAAAAGACGCGGTGGAAGAAAGTCTGGCGGGTGTTGGCATCAGAGAAGAACAATGAATAGAGAATAATGGAAAAATATCTTAAAGGCTATTTAGGTCAAGGACAATCACGTTAGGAGAAAAACCCTTAAAAAAAAAATTGAAGTTATGGCGAGAAATAATATATCTTGACGACTGTGTGGAAATATTTTAAACACAATTTAATTTGTCTCGATTCGTTGACTTTGAAAACCTGAGTTATGGAACCTCCCAAAATACCACGCTCAGGAGAACCAAAAAATCTGATGTGTCCATTCACACGGCTTTCCTACCTATTTCAGAAAAGTTTTTATATCTTTACATATGTCCATAAAGAAACAAAAAAAAAATGAATTAGATTTATTTTCATGAAAATTGATCAAAGAAAAGATTTGGGTACGATTTATTTGATAAACTAAACCAATTTAAACGGTCTATCAGATTGAAGTGTAAAAATTTCAATACCCTCTAATATTCCTGATCAAAAACTTTTTGCCATAGACTAATTTTGTATAGCAATAATTTCTGTTAAAAGTCGAGGAAATAATGAAGCTTGTGTGATGCGGGCAACAGATTTTCTTACTTTCACTTAGTTATCTTTTTTCTCTCATATATCCTTACAGGGTACCTATCTCATACAGGATTTCTAACCGTAATCTTACATTTGAAATTGAATAGCTGTAACTTCGTTAATTGTTGTTCGAAATGAACGATTTCCTTTAAAAAAAAAACAGGCTAAACGGTGTTTTTCGGTCACAATTGCAATACTTTCCTTACATAGTATAGGCAGGATAGTAATAAATTAAAACGTGCAGAAACTAGAATACGCTGTATCATCGCTAATACTGGTTCGATTCCCATGATTTTTTTTTTTGTTTTTTTGGTAATTTAATTACCTGTCAAAAGTTTTATCATACATTTTTCCTGATTTTTTTTTCGAGAATTTAGTCCATGTACGAACATTGAAAGGGCAATTATTAGAACATTATAGGAAAGTTTCATCAAAACCGTTAGAGCCGTTTTGGCACGACAGTCTATAGAAAAACGTGTTTTTCATTTATTGCATAGCAGTTATAGCGCATGGAGCATCCGATTTGTGTCACAGGCATCAGTAGTAAAACCCTACAAAATAAAAAAAGAAGCATCAAAATCGGTTTTCTAGTTATCGAGGCCCGTCGAAAACCGCGTATCGGAAGTTTGATCCGATTGCACTACTTTTCTTACCTAGTATAGGTAGGAAAGTAAAAAGGGTTTATACTATCATATGATATATAGTGTAGATTTGATGAGGGTCTACAAAAACTGTCCGCTAAGAGAAGTTTCCCTGTATATCATGGTCCCCATCCTCCCTATTAAGCTAGACAGAACATCCACGATTCCATTGCTCGAAGCTTAAAATGTACTCACCGTAATATTATGAAATGATAAAAATTATGGATTGAAACAGGAAAAGTGAGGTACTTGAAGTACTGATGTAATAAAGACAGGGATAATCAATTGAACTGAGGCCTATTTGAGCGCTGCCAGGCGGCGGGTGGCGGGAACGGGGGATTGGTTCCGGCGGCCGCCGCGGGAGTGCGCTAGGAAAGACCTATAAAGGACACCCCTCTCTGCCGAGGGCCGCCCTGTCCTGTGCCCTCAGTGCCCTCTTCTGTGTGTGCCTTTTTATTTATTTATTTATTTAGTAGTATATAGTATATAGTGACCGACTTTATTTATTGCCGGACATCTTCGGGGGACCACAGGAACTCCGGATATCGAACACTTATTGGTGAGTACCTCACTCTTTGTCACATCTTACTAGCTTATATCAGTTCCAAAAAAATAGAAATAATAATAAAGACAACTACATCAACCTCTAGTAAAACTACTTTAATTTATCATAAAAACATTGCTTGGATACGTGTCAATGTTTTAGTCAAACTAGAAATAAATTTGATCAATCCAAAGGCAAATATTTATGAATGCATACATAAATTGATTTAATATATTTCCTCATCACAATTGATACCGATGCATTTATTTATCTTGTGAGTATCCCTTCGTGAATCAGCTTAATAAACAGAGCTTGCGTTATACAGGTTCATAAATTCTATCATGTTCATCAGATAACACAACATCAAATGAACTATCTATAGATATTCCTACATAAGTTCATTATCATATATAATTAATCTATCAATTTTTTTAAAAATTAATTACAAGTAATATGACAACGCTCAAATTTCCGATCCACATCTTTGAATATTACGAAATGTATAATCAAACAGGAATAGAAATGGAGCATGTATTTCTGTTCTGTTTTCTTGACACAATTTTCTTTAGACGAGTTGAACAAAACGAAAAAAAAAAATATGAAAAGCCCGACTGATGTCAAAACACAAGACCTATTTTATTTTCAGCGGTATAGGATAAGTGCCAGGCCTGCCAACTTGGCATGGATAGTGAAAATTCATACGCGCCTCTAAGTTAGTAGCACATGAATCCAATATTATTCTATTTCAGTGTTTTTTCTCTTTCTAGTTATTTATTATTATCCTTTTTTTGTTTGTTTGTTTTATAACGTCTCCAACGTTCAAGTTTATTGCAAATTATAATAATCACGATCCTTGGAGTTTCAATTAGCTCATCGAATAAACATGACAGTGTTTTTTATCGTCAGAATCATAAATCTTTTCTGTAACAGAAGTGAAATATTAAATTAAGTTAAACTTTTTTATGTTCTGATTTACTATTGCAATATATATAGGGATGTTTACTTTACTTTTTTTTTTTCGCTGACAAATGCGTTTTGTGTCTGTTGGATTTGACCCGTTGAATCGGGGATCGAATACGTTTTATAAAGTCAGTTTATTTAATTATATCCAGTTAATAGCACCTGAAAATCTAGGTAGAATATATAAATACCTAGGTAGAGGAAGGAGAGGGGGGTAGACTGTATATTTAGGCCTAGTATCTGGTAGCTAGGTGCGGTACAAGCCTAGTCGGCCCCCGACCAGGCAAGCAGCACCATCTACCAACGGTAACTAATAATAAATTCTACAACCAACCGTGTACTCAAACACGTCACAAATTTGTAGATTTTTAGTTATGTCAATGCAACAAACAAGGGCAAAAAAGATGCTGTAAACAGCCGTTTGATAGCATGATTTCTACATGTGCATGTGGTACGGTAGATTGTAGATAATAATTTAACTTTTACAATTTAATTTATTCCATGAATTGAATAATCAAACAAGCATGATAGCTTTTCAAAAAAAATAATAATAATGAATTTTTTAAAATTTAAATCGGGCAAAGCTCTTTTTGGTTGCGGTTAGAAATTACTTACCATTACCTGACAGAATCATAAGTGTGTTTATTTTAAAATGGCTTGAATAAAAATTATATTTAAAAGTAACGCCATGCCGTATCCAAATTCTTTCATAAATTTTATTCCATAATTGATATGAATTCGGAATCTTAAAACGTTATTGTTAATAGTCTTTTATTTATGATTGTTTTAATCATTACACTATTACTATCCCCAACTAAATATCGGATACGTTTTTTATTTGAGTGAATAAAAATATATTTTAAAAAAAGTTGTTAATAATTATGATTTCTGTGTAAATGAATCAATAGACTTAGTTTAATCGTGAAAAATTGGTATTACTAATAATTTAAAGTATAACGTTCTCATCTTGAACCGTTTCGTGTTTTTTAAATTTAATTTCATATACTTTTATATTTGTATTTTATATTTAACTGTTCTAAAAATATTTAGCTTAACATTTATTTTCCAAAAAAAAAAAATAAATAAATAAAAAAAAATGATTTGAATGCAGCTATTCTAACAAACAGTAGACTATTATTTTACTATATTCTAGACTTAATATAACAGCAGACTATGCTAGAAGACACGTAGATTCAATCCAAAGGTTTTATTCGATAATTGAAACGAATTAGGAATCGTAAACCACGTTTATTAATTGTCCTTTATTTATAATAGTTTTAATGATTACATTATTACTATTCCATACTTAATTTCGGATAATTATGTTATTATAATTTATAAACAGATAATAAAAAAATAAATTTTAATAATTATAATTTATATATTAGTATGAATATATAACAAATTCAACTTAGTTTTGTAGTGAAAAGTTGTTATTGCTATATAAACATAAATTAAATAAAGATATCATATTTTCATCTTAAGTCAATTTCTGCATTATATATATATTACTTTCAAAAATATTTAGCTTAATATTTTTACTTCAAATCATAACAAAAACACAGCTTGAGACATCCTAACGAACAGTAGACTATACATCATATTACAAATAGTTTTGAAGTAGTTCAATTGTGTCTAGATGTTTTCCTACTAGAGAATGGGTTGGAGCCAACACGAACATAAAACTAGTCAGAATTATTCTGAATATCTGGCAGGCTTCCTACGGATTAATCTATTTAAGACCAGATTAAACGGGGAATTGAGAAATTGGAGGAAATCTTGCTCGAGTCGATTACGGACAAGGAACGGAGGCCCTGCTTATTGGGGTGACCTAAGAACAGGGGCTTTGCCAAGTAGGACAATGACAACGGAATGGCGGTGATCCCTGAGCTTAGCCGATATCCTTGCAAGTCCCCGGTCTGGGGCTTCGCGATAATCTCTACTTAGCGAATTTCTTGGATATAAGTCACTGTTGTGATTTAGTCATTTATATGAAATAAATTAAATGGAAATAAAAAGTCACTTTTATGGAATTCAAATATCCGGTACTATTTAACGCTAACGTAATTGTAACGGTACAACCTGAATTCATTATTTGATAATCGTACTATTGATAATAGCTTTTTGAGCTACAGTTACATAGGGATATGATTATTCATTACCTTCAACCTCTGAGTATTTTTCCAACGAAATCGAGATGTCTGACGGATCCTCAAGTTATAGATACTTGTTTCAATCCTCTAAATTTTTCTGAATCCAGAGTCGACTATCGGTTGATATGACACAAAAGTTTCTACCTCGGCCTTCGAGTTAAGAATCAAACGACTCCTTCCCTATTGAAAGTAATCCCTTGAAGAAGATGCTATTTCATAACTAATACACATTACATTCACTATATATGTGTATTTAGATTATCGTAACAAAAATTATAAAATCATACAAAAAAAGTAAACAAACCTGATAACAATAGTTTAAAAAAATCTTGTATTATTGATAACCTAAGTTTAGTCAACTGCTCTTTTAATAATTGACTTTAAAGCCTTCGCTCAATAATATTGAGTATAATAGTCAATTGGTCAGTTTGTGGAACTGACAATTAATCTCGACTTATGCAAGTGATATGGGTGTATGATATTTAATATTAATAGTGTTAAAAACGATCCGAACCTATGAATATAAAAAAATAACTAAATAAATGATGAACATATAGAATCCATACTCTTACAATGATGATTTCGTGACATATTGTTCTAGTTGACTTTACCGTGCCAGTTGAATCGTTTTTGAATAATCTGCATTAGATAATTGTAATTAAAAATTTAAAACTGCTTTTAAAATATTCTTAATCCGCCACAGGAATAAATGACGTTACTGGAACAGAGAATCCTGATAGCTTCTATACTCGGGAACGGATGCCAAAACCAAATTCCTTTTTAAATTAGAAGCAGTGTCAGGAATATACGTCCATTAGAGTTCGGAACGTAGGAAAAATGTTGGGGAACCACTTTAAATAAAATATATTCTTTTATTTATAAATAGACGTGGTGTTTTCTTTTTGGCGGGAGCCAAGTAGGACACTGCTTGTAAAATTAGTGTTAGATTACGTTTCAAAATTAGACCTGTATTTTTCGGAATAGCCATTACATGGAGGGGTCGGGATCTAATTTTTGATATTAAAAATGTAGAGCGAAATTGGTAATGTAGACAATAATTATTTTTGAAAGTTTAAGAGGTTAAAGAAAATTTAAAAAAGATAGAGTGACCTTTTATTTAGATAAATCAATATCAAATATTTTATTTAATGTGTTATACTTTATTATTATCCAATTCACAATAATAGCGTTTGATGTGTTATTTATCATGGCTTCTGATACCAAATATAGAAAATATTTTTTAAAAAATCATTGAAATTTGAAATTTAAGACTAAAGTTATTAAAAGATGCAATACCGCAAAAAATAAAAGTTATTTTATAATTTTTATTCTTAAACTTTATTGAAAACTATTTTCTTTTTTTCTTATAACCAACAATTTTTTTTATCGCTCAAATTTCTCTTTTGGTTTTGTATTTTTCTGGTTCACAGTTTGGAGTTATATCTGATGACCTTATAATTTTTTAAAAATAATTTTAGTTATCCAAGTAACAGAAATAAAATGTAGTTCCTTCAATATGCTAAATATAAACTTCGGAAATATAGCCTCCATCCATTAAATATATACCTCCATTAATAATTAAATAATATTCTTCCATCCATATGCAAAAAACTACACAATTATGTAACAGAAACTAAAAAAGGAAGTTTGTGTAATTTTAATTTTTTTAAGTTTTGAAGTTTTTGCACATTTATTTGTGAATAACTAAAGAAGTGATTTTTCATTTGTTTTTATGGACAATGGAGAGAGAGATCGATCAGACAAACCCAGTCTTTTTTTTATATATTTCCGCTTTTCTCTATATAGTAGAAGCTGTACTAATATATATTTTATCTGAACATAAGTGATGTCATATATTGCTCTCTGTTACAAAATAAGTATTCAAAGAAATTACACAAGATA